AGGGAGTGTCTGACGCTGAGTTCGGTGGACCAAACTCAGCATCAGACACTCAATGACTCTCTCTCTCTCTCTCTCTCTCTCTCTCTCTCTCTCTCTCTCTCTCTCTCCCAACATTCAAAGGTGAATGAATCTTCTGTGTTATTGTGGAAGACTCATTCACATTTGAGAGAGAGTGTTGGGAGAGAGACACACAGAGAGAGAGAGAGAGAGAGAGAGAGAGAGAGGGTGTCAGGGAGTGTCTGATGCCGAATTTGGTCCACAGAGAGAGAGAGAGAGAGGGTGTCAGGGAGTGTCTGATGCCGAGGTGTCAGGGAGTGTCTGATGCCGAGTTTGGTGGACCAAACTCGGCATCAGACACTCCCTGACACCCTCTCTCTCTCTCTCTCTCTCTCTCTCTCTCTCTCTCTCTCTCTCTCTCTCTCTCTCTCTCTGTGGGTGGGTGTGCGTGAGTGAACCTCTCACGAGAATGAATCTTCCTCTTTATCGAGGATGATTCTTCTCGTTGGGAATGTCTGATTTCCATCTTTTTTTTTTTTTTTGCTGAATGTTGTGTGTTTTCGTGTTTTTTCACTTTATTTATTTTACCGTGATGTATTACCGGTTGTCCAAGGCTCGGCGAAAAAGTCCGAGGCTAGGGAATGATAGGGCTACCGGTAGTCCGAGCCTCGGACTTGATAGCTGAGCGAGGTACTGGTGGTTTAAGCAGACAGACCGACCCACAGACGGAAAGCTGACAGAGACAGGGGTTGGGCAAGACACTGAGGGGAAGAAAAAGAGTAGGACAGATAGGGAGAAGGAAAGCGAGGTGCATGCAAAAGGCACAGACCCGATGGATCACAGCAGAGAGATTAGTTGTGGCTGACAGAGGGCCAGACATGAATTCAGCCCTGCAGTCATACCCGAGTACAAAAAGACAGGCCGACAGGAAAAGATAGGTACAGACTATGAGATACTTAACAGGGGCATATACAGATGGAACAGATCAGCAGAGACTACATAACACCTTGAATCCCATCTCCATGATTAAATGGAATGGCCCTCAGACTTTAATTACCCATTTTCTTGTGCCCATTCAAGACAGGATTTTGCTCCTCAAGTTGTTTTGAAAATATGGATCACAGACTGACTGACAGACAGACAAACATGAACACCATTTAGAAATAGGTGAACGAGAGGTTGCCTAACTGTAGAGAGAGACATCCAGAAAAGACAAATTATGGCAGTGCATCTTTCCATGTTGTAGCAGAAGATTCATTCTCCTTTTGCACATTTAGTGAGTGGTGGAGCAAGGCACAAAGAGAATAATAGGGAGTCTCTCTCTGACCTCCGACAACAAATTATATGAAATGAGATGAAATTTTGTCAACGACCCGGAATAACTCGTGGGCAATTCAAAAACAAAAAACAAAACAAAAAAAAGAACCCGTTGTGTAATTCCTCCCACCCTGTCAGTGAACACCACCTGAGATCTACTTTCCTATGCGTGTCTTCCCAAGCCGATTCTACAGAGCAAACAAAACTGGATCGAACACATATCCCCGATATCCGACTCATCTCATCCCCTTTCCTCGCTCCATTTCTAGTTATTGTCTTCCCGATCCCGACGGTATCCTCTGGAGAGCAAACCAAAACTTGTGATCATATTCTCTGTCCTCTGGCGCTGCGGACACAACTCACCTACCTCCATATACCAACTATGCCTCACCTCATTGTGGCCATCAACCATCATTGACCGTAAGGAACAGCACCAACTTAATAAAAAAAGAAAAGAAAAAAAAAACAAAACAGATTTTTACTGGCAACGTCGATTTCATCCACTTTCTTCCCATACCTTCAGATTCGATTCGATGCATAATAATGTAGTTCAACTTCACTCCTCCTGATATATTGCGCGAACGAACCCGAGACATCATTTGCTACGTAGAGACGGCGGAAGTTCTATATCTACACAGGCCGAGGCCCAAACAGAGCGTCCAATCCAGAGCAAATGAATGAAGGGGCGAAAAGAACCCCGTATCTTAAAAGAACGAAAAAAAAAGAAAAAAAAAAGGAACCCCGTATAATCTAGTCAGTGCCTTGCGACATGTGTCTAAATCCTATAAAATAAAAGTGCCGCGCCTAACCATACGTTCTGAAGACAACGAGAAGAGAAGGAAAAAGAACGAGCCTCTCCACAACAACGATTGTCCTTCACCTGCATGCATGAATGCATGAAAATACTTAGTGACGTCCTCAGAAAAAGGGAGCTCAAAACTAGATACTACTGCCGTTCCTTCTCCTCTGAGAGCCAGACCTTGTTCCCCCCACCCAACCTGGGAACACTACCTGCTGTAGCATCCAAGAGAGCCCACACACTCTTAAAAAAAGCTGTGAAGCACATGGTCGTTGTCCACTCTCACCCTCAGGCATTAGGGCAACCCCTCGACTCCTAAGGTGTGGCGACGTTCTCCAATGCCTTGGGAGCGATCTCCTCACCGTCCACCCCTGGCTGGGCACCAACAACTTGTAAGCTGAGCAACGCCTCCTCCCATCGCCTCGCCGGTTCCTTCCAGGACAGATCTTGGGCCATGTCTGCCAGGATCATGGACTCGAACTCGGGTGTGCCATACACCTCGGTCGCTCTGCAAACAGCATCTACCACCTTCCGCACATCTGTGGGGACCACGCGGTCACAACGGACGTCGAACGAGGAGTCACCCATGAGAAATCCTGTCACCCCTTCGGTCACCGTATCAACGAGTCCTCCCGTGGCAGAAACGATGGGTACCGTGCCATACCTCATAGCATGTAGCTGAATGAGGCCGCAAGGCTCAAATCGGCTTGGAATAACCATGAAGTCCGCCCCAGCGGTGAGCAGATGTGCCAAGGGTGCATTGAATTTGCACACGGCACGGAACCTCTCCGGGTACCTCTTTTCCAACGCCTTTAACTCCGACTCAAACCTCTTCTTCCCCGTTCCCAGCACGACCATCTGCAGCGCGTTCTCCTCCTGCATCAACTTGGGAAGTGCTGCGCACAGCACATCCGACCCCTTCTGTTCCTCGAGTCTGCCGATGAAGGCAAACAGCGGCACGTGGGGAAGAACAGGCAGCCCCACCTCAGCTTGGAGAAGCTCCTTCAATCCAGGCTTGACTTCCAGAACGTTGGAAGCGTCGTAGTTGACTTCAAGGTACTTGTCGGAAGCGGGGTCCCACTCTTGCACGTCCATACCGTTCACGATCCCGACAATACCTCTCCTCTCCGCAACGTGATTGAGCTCCATGCCCTTGTCTTCCCCAGAAACCAACTCCTTTGCATAGTTAGGGCTGACGGTGAGCAGCACATCGGCCTCTTCGAAGCCTGCCTTCATCCAGTTGATCTTCGGCCCGACGACGGGCTTCTCGTACCCATCAAGAAAGCGGAAAGAGGGCCTCAGCTCCTCCCCAAGGTTGAGGAGGTCGAAGTCCGTGGCGGCAAAACGGCCCTGATAAAGAACGTTGTGCACGCAGAAGGCGACCTTGGCATTCACGAACTGTCCGCGTGGCTTATATATGCTCTTGAGGTAGCAAGGAACAAGCGCGCTGTGCCAGTCGTTCGCTACAAAGATCACATCGTCGCCATAAGGACCCTGGAAGGGGGAGGGAGAGTTGCTGCTGCTGCTGCTGCTGTGCTTGAAGTCGAGAAGTCGAACGGCCTCGATAGCCGCCTGATTGAACAGACTAAAGCGGAGTTGATTGTCGGGGTAATCTTCCCCAGTCGTCTCTCCATAGATCTTGCCGCCCGTTTTGCCCCAAACCCTGGCAAGGAAGAGAGGATGGTCCACGAAAACACGGTCGACACCACGCTTATGGCAGTGGAAGAAGCGCACAGTCTCCGTCCTCCCGCCCACCACCACGTCCGCCGTGACACTGGTGTCCCAAGCGTCCCTGTACTGATCATACCGAGGAGCCACGGTCATCACCCGATGACCACGGGCGACAAGCGCTGGCGGCAGTCCAGCCAACACATCGCCAAGGCCACCCGTCTTACTCCAAGGACCGACCTCAGCGGAGACAAACACGATCTTCATCCCCGCCTCGCAAGAGACAACCCCTCTGCTGGGACGCGACGTCGAGGCCCCACGCAGTGTCACGGAGTTCATTAGCTCTGCAAAGGACGATACGCTTCGCGCGCCGCCAAGAGGAGGAGATCCGGCCAGTTCCAGATAACGTTTGCAGCTGCGCAGGCCCTGGAATGCGTCCATCCCAGGCAAGGCAATCGTGCATGGGCGGCCGGCATCCACGTCAGAAGAGAAAGGCGAAACGCAGCAGCCCGGGCACACGTGACAAGAGCCCGTCGTCGCGACGAAGGACGAAGAGGAGGAATCATGGCGTAACAACGAGATGGACGAACCAGAGACAGCGACGTACAACTTGCCTGCAGGAACAGACAAGGACGCCGCCGCCGCCGCCATATCCGTAGAGCTTGTATAGCCTGCAAGGTGAGCAGCACTGCCTATTTCTCACAGTCGCACAGAATTACCGTCACGCTATCATTACGTACGTACGCGGCGAGCCGAAGCCGACGGAACGGATGGAAGACGACCGACCCCACCAAAGTGCACAGAAGAATCGCCACGGCCGATGGTAGCCTGTAATCGCGCAACCATGCCATACAACACACCTTCTCAGGCTGCTGCGCTCCTCGTGTAAGTCACGTTGTGAAGGGGGTACAACCAGCAGGCATGGATGGACAGCCAAGAGCCCCCCCAACAATGCCTGTGTGTCCCCAGCCCGGTCAGGCATGGATGGACAGCCAAGAGCCCCCCCAACAATGCCTGTGTGTCCCCAGCCCGATCAGGACCCCTGCAAACACGCAAAGACAACGATGTATAAGAAAGAGATACTATACTCAAGCATCAGAGAGAGTAACAAAACATCTGCACTGCACATCTGCNCCGACCTCAGCGGAGACAAACACGATCTTCATCCCCGCCTCGCAAGAGACAACCCCTCTGCTGGGACGCGACGTCGAGGCCCCACGCAGTGTCACGGACTTCATTTGCTCTGCAAAGGACGATACGCTTTGCGCGCCGCCAAGAGGAGCAGATCCGGCCAGTTTCAGATAACGTTTGCAGCTGCGCAGGCCCTGGAATGCGTCCATCCCATGCAAGGCGATCGTGCATGGGCGGCATGCATCCACGTCAGAAGAGAAAGGCGAAACGCAGCAGCCCGGGCACACCTGACAAGAGCCCGTCGTCGCGACGAAGGACGAAGAGGAGGAATCATGGCGTAACAACGAGATGGACGAACCAGAGACAGCGACGTACAACTTGCCTGCAGGAACAGACAAGGACGCCGCCGCCGCCATATCCGTAGAGCTTGTATAGCCTGCAAGGTGAGCAGCACTACCTATTTCTCACAGTCGCACAGAATTACCGTCACTCACGCTATGATTACGTCCGTACGTACGCGGCGAGCCGAAGCCGACGGAACGGATGGAAGACGACCGACCCCACCAAAGTGCACAGAAAAGTTGCCACGGCCGATGGTAGCTTACAACCGCGCAACCATCCCATACAACACACCTTCTCAGGCTGCTGCGCTCCTCGTGTGGAAGTCACGTTGTGAAGGGGGTACAACCAGCAGGCATGGATGGACTGCCAAGAGCCCCCCCAACAATGAATGCCTGTGTGTCCCCAGCCCGGTCAGGACCCTGCAAACACGCAAAGACAACGATGTATGAGAAAGATGCTATAGTCAAGCATCAGAAGAGTACAAAACATCTGCACTGCACATCTGCCACCCCGTCGAATGCGAGGAGAAACGACCACGTATCAACATTGTGGTCATCCTCACACCAGCCCAACATCATCATTATTCATTGCAAATCACACACACAATTTACGAAAAAATAGTTAAAAAAAAATAAAATAATAATAATAATAATAAAGAACAAAAAATAGTATGTGGTACGGTAAAGTGAACGGTGGCCTGATACACGTGACTAGGCTGATACCGATCGTATCTTGGGGAAAGTACCAACTGCCATGGAGAGGCGGTTAAAAAGCTTTAGTCTCATAGCTGCGCCTTCATCTACTTCCCCATACCAATCAAGAAACAGCCAGCAGTGTTTAAGGCCAGCACACACATGATGAGGAGATCGCCTTTTTCTCCCTTTCATACTAATCTCCTTCCGTTTCCCCTTGGTACCCCCTCTCTCTTCTTCTTCCTCCTATTCTTTTTTTTTTTTTTTTTCCCTAAACGAAGCAGACAGTCGACAGTGAGAACAGAAGCATAGATTTGAGGTTGAAATCTGCAAGGAAGGCAGCGATGCTGTAGCAGCAGCGGTTGGTGACATCATCACCACACCAAGATCCCTCCCCGCTCAATTACTGCTGCGCTGGAATGGCTCTTCCTGGCGTCAGGGCCGACAATCGACTCTTTGCAACCAGAGTGGGACACGTGGAGGGTGGGCACCTCGTTCATTCGCTGCACGGCACAGCAGGTTGGCAGATTCATGGAATCGCGTTCGATCGCCATGGCTAGTGTGTTAGATGTTATCGTTATCGCTGCTGCAGCAAGTGGAGGGGAACCGACGGAAAGAGGTACACCGACGTGAGTATGCTTATTTTTTTGCTCTCTTTTCATGGGAAAACTTAATTCTCTTCTCTTTCCCTGACGTCCTCCTTGTCAAAGAGGTGTGCTTTTCGACAGAATCGGAGTGCATCCCGTGCATATCTCATAGAAAACAGAGAACTCAACAAGAGAAAAACAGACAGCACGTGCAAATGCCATGTCGAAGACCGGGCTTGACAAACAGATTAAAAAACAACGGTCTTTAACCCCCCCCCCATACAACCGCAAGTCGTTTTCATGGTATTTGAGCCTACTTCCAGTCGGGATACAGGTATCATCATTGGAGGGTAACAGTCGGGATACAGCTATGATCATTGGAGGATTCTGCCGCTTGCTACGTCGATCGCACAAGTGAAGAGAGCGAAAAAAAAAAAAAAAAAAAAAAAAAGGGACACGGTACACGAAGGAGAGAGACCAAAGGTGACCACAAACTACTGACTTATCAGGCAAAACTAAAGGAATAATGCCAATAAGATTAAAAAATAACAAAAAAAAAGTAAAAATGACAAAGGTGAAAGGAAAGAATCGTTGATTAACTGCTGGTACACCACTTATTTGTTCATTGACTAAGTTCAGAAGGCATAATGGTTTCAAGCAATCATCGAGCTGGTTTACCTGACGCAGGAGGAAGTAGTGTGATGACGAAGGTGATGATGATGTTGGGGGATACAAGCAAGTAACGACAGAGCAAACACGAAAAACAGTAGACGAAGGAAACAAGAAGCAAGTACACGAAAGCGCAGAGGAGTCGTCATCACAAGGAGAAAAGAAATAGATGAACATGATCTGGTTACGTAACCAGATGCATGTCAATAGCACAGCAAAGAGAGCAGAGGAAGCACGTGAGGGATAGCAGGTGGACGAGGAGGAAGCAGCGATGGCGATGATGATGACGATGATGATGACGTTGATGATGACGATGATGATGACGTTGATGATGACGATGATGATGACGATGATGATGACGATGATGATGACGATGATGATGACGATGATGGTGGTGGTGGTAGTTGCGTGTGTAAAGCATGCATATACCTTTCAGGTCAGCTCAACACGCCCGCGCTGCAATGTGGTGTGGCCCGCAGTTACAGCGACATATTCGAGGGCATCTGTCTGCAACACACGCGACTTCCTTCCCCGGCCTGCTCATCAGCCAGGGAGAGCGTTATATACTACTGCATCGATGCCCCGCTCCCTCCCTAGCTTCTCTTTTTTTTTTTTTTTTTTTTTTTTTTGGTCCCGCTGTTTGTTGTTCTCTCTCTTGCCATTCTCCTCTTCGCGCTTCTGTGGCTCGGGGTCAACCGCTTCATCAACCGCTCCAGCTGCATTGCCCATGACTCCCTCCATTTTCTCTTCTTTTTCGCTTTTTCTCTCTTTTTTCTGTTTTCCTTCTACCTAGAAATGAGATAGTCCCATTCTTTGTTGTGCATTCTTTTGTCCCTCTTCCTCTTCGTCTTCCTCTTGTTTTTCTTCTCCTCCTCACGCTTCTGTGGCTTACCGCCAACCCCTTCATCAACCGCCTCGACTGCAATGCCCACGACTGCCCCCGCCGCCACTCCCCCCGTGCGCCGCTCGCGCTCTACACACCATCGTCAACAACCCCTGCAGAACCCAAAGCAACGCGCCTGCCTCTCCGCTTGCTCCACACGTTCACACGTTCGCCAGACCACCCACCAACTCGTGCACAACCGAATGCCAACACCATCGCCAATAACAACCTCACCCCTGTGCCCAGCGACGTCCATTCAACGACGTCCACCCAACCCAACCCAACAAACGGATCCCGAACGGAACCCCCAGACTGCGCCCAACCCAACCAACGGATCCCAAACGGAACCCCCAGACGGCGGCTCGCCCGTCACGACTTCGTGCACCCTTCCTCCAAAACAGGAAAGCGGGGCAAGCGGGCTAGCTCAGTTGGTTAGGCATGCAAGCGGCATTCAGGAGGTCGTGGGTTCAATCCACACTGGCAGCGTGCAGCAGTCTTGGTGCCAACCAACTGAGATAGTTAGCTTGCTCCTCCCATTTGGTATTGGTAGGGTATTTGGCCATCACACCAAATGGGAGGGTATTTGGCCATCAAGGGTGTGTGTGTGGGTTGTGTGCGGTGTATAGGAGAATCCTGGCCATAGACACGGCTGTTACTCTATGGGGTGGGGAAGTAGATGGGAGGCACAGCTACTGGCAAAATGCTTGGTCTTTGCGTTAGCCGCTATGCCCCCACGGGTGGCCCCACCCTACTCCCTGACCACCGCCGATTAGGGCGGGGGGCAACATGCATCCCCTGTATAGGCTGAGTCGTGGCATGTAATCCGCAGTGGGCAACATGCATCCCCTGGCAGGTAGGTAGTGAAAGCTGAAATTGAGAGAAGAATATAGCTTAGTAACCTTCTCAATACTATTAAAAGTTGCAAAGGACCCGGCATGACACTTCCCGCCGGGCCCAGCGAAAATTGATGGTCCACGGCGCAGCACCGAGATGCGCGGCGCACCAGCAGGACGTGGCCAGTCAGGGCGGGGGGGAAGTTGCGGCGCTGCGTGTGCTGAGGCGGGCGGGCCAGTGTGAAAGGGCAGGGGAGTGCGGGCCGAGGAGGGGGGGCCAGCAAAGCGAGACACCGGCCCAGGGCCCGTGCATGGAGCTACCGAGCAAGCCGACGGATTGTTGGCGGACGCGGCCCGCGGGCAAGGGGAGGTCGGGCTGGGTGCAGGGGGTCGAGGGGGTCGACACAAAGAG